ACAGATAACAGACACTATGCTACTAAGTTACTATTTCGCCAACCGTAATCTCATTTGACTCAAAATGGAAAATGTCTTAAATATATATATATATATATATATATATATATATATATATATATATATATATCGCCTGATGATCGTACGCTGTACGTGAAACACTGTGTAGCGATGAAATAAAATTTTAAGATTGAAATTTGTTGTTTATGTCTTTTTATATATATATATATATACTTTTTACGAAATGTCTATATTAATGATATAGTTTATTTTCTGCGAAAAGTGAACTTGAAATGTTGCATTTTTTGGCCAACATAGTAACTGTAATAGGCGAACTTTGAAAATTCTCAAATTTTCCGTTATTTCAGAATGTCAAAAATTTGAACCCCTCGCTCCTCAGGCATAATTTTTGCATAATTTGTCGTCCAGTAAATGCAACAAAAAACATTCTACGCGATTGCACTTCGAATACCTCAATTTATAATATGATATCAGACACGAGAAATTATATTGATTTGAAACGCTGACAAGTGTTTACTGTAAAGTTTTTCTAGAATATATTACTGCTATAATATTATATTGAGCTAAGTGCCCTATATTAGAATGAGCTCTATAATACAGATAACAGACACTATGCTACTAAGTTATTATTTCGCCAACCGTAATCTCCTTTGACTCAAAATGGAAAATGTCTTAAATATATATATATATATATATACTTTTTACGAAATGTCTATATTAATGATATAGTTTATTTTCTGCGAATAGTGAACTTGAAATGTTGCATTTTTTGGCCAACATAGTAACTGTAATAGGCGAACTTTGAAAATTCTCAAATTTTCCGTTATTTCAGAATGTCAAAAATTTGAACCCCTCGCTCCTCAGGCATAATTTTTGCATAATTTTTCGTCCAGTAAATGCAACAAAAAAACCCTACGCGATTGCACTTCGAATACCTCAATTTATAATATTGTTTACTGTAAAGTTTTTCTAGAATATGTTACTGCTATAATATTATATTGAGCTAAGTGCCCTATATTAGAATGAACTTTATAATACAGATAACAGACGCACTAAATATCGCTTCAGTGAGTAGTTAGCTCCATAAAATGTTCACAATAGGCTTCGGTCAAGGTCACAATTATCAATCGGCCTTCAAAGGCCCATTTACACGGGCGATTTTTGCTGTGATTTCAGTTGCGATCTTCTCCTTTTGGAGGATGTGAAGGAGTAGATCAGTTATAAATGTTCCAGGTTATGAAATCTCATCACAACATCATTAAGTAATCTACTCCTTCACATCCTCCAAAAGGAGAAAATCGCAATTAAAATCGCAGCAAAAATCGCCCGTGTAAACGGGCCTTTACACTTGCAGTTTTTGCTACGACTTCTGGTGCGATTTTCTTCTTCTGATGGATGTGAACGAGTGGATAAGTTATGAATGTTCAGATGAGGGTACATGTTCTCCGAACATTCGTAACTCATCTACTCGTTCACATGCATCAGAAGTAGAAAATCGGCACTGGAAATCGCAGCAAAAATTGCAAGTGTAAACGGGCCTAATAAAGTTATCTCTCTTTAGGCTGCTTTACACTATTAAATTTTCTGTGATCATAGTATAGGAATTATGTGTAGGTAAATTTTAAGTTTTGAAGTATTTGTACCAGGGCGAAACTTGAGGTGGGGTATGGGGGGGGGGGAGAGTGTGGCAACCC